CTATTTATGGCTGCTAGTTATTTTTCAGCATATATTTTCTTGTAATTAACTTTTTAATAGATAATATGTTTAGTTGGCTTTAAATTCAAAAGGTATAAAATAACAAAAATAATAAAAGTAGTTAAGTAGCTCTGTATAGCACTTACTGTGTGCCAGGCATTCTTTTAAGCATTTTTACTGTATTAACTTAATCCTCACCAAGATGCTGCTGCACTGTTATCCCTATTTTGTGAATGAGTGAGTTGAAGCAAGAGAAGAACACCTGAACACTAAACTGGTGTGGGTTTTGTGCTTTGACCAGGCACGTGTCACCTTTGGAAAGCATTTTGTGAACACGGCTCTTTCTTTTCTAGGCTGGATTCAGTGCTTACACAACCAGGCATTTTTCTTTCAGTGTACTTATTCCAACTTCCTCTCATTCCCTCCTTAGACTATAAGCTTCCTCAAGGCACGTGCCCTGTCTCACGCTTTTGTGCAGACCCAGGACCTAGCACAATTTCTGGCACACACTAGGTACTTAATAAATACTGCTCTGCCAGGACTGATTTTCCCATTTTAAAAATGGCTGTATGTGCTGTACCTCCTTCACCAAATTATTCAGAAAGTCAAATGAGAGTTGATAGCTGTTTGTAAAGTTTGGATCACTACACAAATAGATATTAAACCAGTTGTGGAGAGCACTGTCTATGCATAATGAAGACTGCTTTTAAAGCTTCTGCACATTATTAGCTTCTGCACAGGAGTTGATACCCAGGACAAATAGGATCTTGATAATCAGTGCCATTGTGTTCTCTTATTTTTAACCAATTATATTAATGATTACAAACAATTTTTGTATATTCTAATTGCATGCTTTTTTCATTCTGCAGAAGGCAGAGAAAATGGTTTATGTCCTAATATTTAAATATTGCAGACTCATACTTTCTAAATTTTACATCTGGTTTTTCTAATTCACTGTTGTTTCTGAGTGTTGGCCGCATATGAGAGGTCTTCAGAATGTTCCAGAAAGATTCATATTATCTTTTAATTCCATTTTTCCAAGGACTTTCTGAAGTACCCTTGTGTGAGAATCACAGGCTTATAATTTTGTTTTTGTAAATTAAAGATTCTTAGGTTCTGTCCTTTGATTCATGGAAACAGAATCACAGGGTGGGAGGGAGAGATTGCCACAGGTAATTTTTTTTTTTTTTTTTTTTAAAAAGATGACCGGTAAGGGGATCTCAACCCTTGGCTTG